AGATCTTGGAAGCTAAGGTCACCATGTCTTCGGGGTGCCCTCACACATCCACATGCACATATTTTAAAAATACAAAAAGTAAAAAGTAAATGACTGTTCAAAGCAAATCATAACTAATGGCAGCTTGATTTTAAATATTTTCACTTTTAAAAGACCCAGCGAGTTCAGTGGCGCATGCCTTGCTGGCAAATATGCTTCAGGTTAATGCTTTAGTTGCATGGTAGATGGCACTTTTGTTCAAAGTTGCTTTCCTGAAATTAAACACCTTGCCTGAGGCAGAGACTGAAAGAATGTGGTGCATTCTGCCATGGACATGAAACAGGCCTGGCCCAGACCAGTATCAGGGAGGCATGCATTACTTTGACTTCTTGGATATGCCATTCATATCCTTGTGATTCAAGGTGGTTAGCCGGAAAAATGAGCGAGGAACTGATGTTCAGGCCAAGGAAAGCAGGCAGCCCTTTAATTCTGAGGTTTAACAAGTGCATATGGTGTGGGTCAGTGGCAGAGAGCCCCCATCAATCCCAGCTTTCTACGCAAGGCCAGATCAAGACATTTTGGTGCTTGAGGCAGGGAATCCAACAGTACAATCCAAGGCAGAGTCAGTTCTAAGTCAGTTTATGTCAGTGGGCTTACAGGAATGTAACCCTGTTTAGAATTGCACTGTAAAGGGACAGCACCTCATTTCACTAAATGGCACAGAGAAGATCTATCGAAGAAAGAAATTAGCAAACTACAATTGCTTCTGCAGGGCTAGATCCAGTCCTTAATTTCTAGCATGATGGATACTGGGGCTTATGCCTTCAGACCGGGGAGCTGTCCAGATATGGGGGGGGATGGTTCTTGGCCATGGTGATAGCCTTCTGTGTACCCCAAAAACTGTTTTGGTGGGTAGGGGTAAAAAGTCCTTGGAACAGTTCCATGGAAGTTCTAGTTAAAAGCAGCTTCCTGAAATCTTGGAGACCTGCTAGGCAGAGAGGATAATTCTTGTCTAGATAGCCCAGGCTAACCTGATGTTAGAGAATTTATTGTTAAGTGAGACTGGGTCCTGTTCTCTCTTAGCCATTTTGAATTAGCTCTGGCATCTAGTCTATCAGTTCTTTGGCTTAACATCCCACAAGGCTTTGCAGCATAGCTGATGATATATTCTTGTAAGCTAGTGCTGACTTGCTAATGCACTCTGCCCTAAAAGAGTAGTTTACACTTCCAGAGTCCAGGATAACAGCCTCGAAGCCTAAACATCTAGATATTGGGGTATGTGGCTTCATGATTCCTCCTTGATGCAGAGAGGGTGTCTGGAGCCTTCTGACCCACTGATAACATATAGATTACCACTTGAAGAGGTGCTGTAATAGTTTGGGGCTTCTTGCCCTCACAGATCTGCAGTCAAAGTTCATGCTTGCTGTATATGAGGGGCTGAATTCTGTCAAGTGCGTCAGATGTTCGTCACAAGCGTAACTGACAGCTACACTGGCTTCTATAGATGGCAAAAGGTATTTAACGTCTGGGTTTTCATTTGTTCATTGTTGTGTGCCAACCACTCCCTTTGTGGGTCTTGCCAGACAACCGGGATGTATCCCTATCCTGTATAATTACAGTGCATTCTAATTTAGGTATTGAATTAATTTTGTATGCTGCATACTAGAATGTTATATATTTGGAAGTTTCTGAACTGTGGGTTTGAAGTTCAATAAACAGAGATTCTTTGGAACCTTTTTCTCTCCCCCCCCCTCTGATGTAATTGAAGTCCCTGCCAGTTTCTCTCCCACTCCATTGAACGTGGTGGGGATGGGAGTCCTAGGAAAGGCTCCTGACTTCATCCAGATCTCAGAAGCTAAGTAGGGTTGGCCTTGGTTAGTATTTGGATAGGAAACCACAAGGAAGTTCAGGGTTGCTACCACCTCTGAACATCTTTTGCCTTGAAAAAACCCATGAGAGCTCACCATAAATTGGCTGCGACTTGACGGCAAATAAATGAGATGGGCTCACTATCAGGCTTCTTTTTGTGTTGCATGGCAAAAAGAGAATCTGGCATGGATAAACTTGTTTATCTCTAAGCCAGTGCTGTCTTTCTGTTTTTCTTCCTCTAGTCAAGCAATGAGCTGATTTTAAAAGTGTGATATATTACTCTGCCTTGGAGGGTGGGGGGCAAACACTGCAAAAGCATCATGGGTATGCAAAATTCCTTTTAGGTCCTATTAGCATAGCAACTACTTTGCTTTGCTCTAGCCTGGGCCCCATGATAGAGGGTTTAAATGCTGCCTGGTGCATAGACACTTTAGATCATGCAAAAATAATAAAGAACAGATGGTTCCCTTGGTTAACTGTTACAGGTGCTGTTACAGGGGGATGACAGCTAGCAATTAGCCATTCTGTGGGATTACTTGGAAGAGGAGTTGAAAAATAATGCAGCATGTGTGATGCCCTCCCATGCTATGTGCTGTGGTTGTACTGTGCTAGAATAAGTCCAATCACAAGGCACTTTCCCTGCTGATAGAACAATAACCTACTTGCGCCTACCACCATGGCTGATGTGATTGTGCTTTTTGCCTGCTATAGTCCTATTCTAACATGGTTGCTTTTATCCCTGCTTGGGGGGGAATATGAGTAAATTTTTCGGAATATGAGCTGTGTAGTGGTGGGTTTTGCCACTAAGAAAACAGCAAAGGAGGAAATGGATAAAGTTTCCCTCCTTTTCCTATGCCATTCTCTTGCTTGATAAAAGCAATCCCAGAGGCTACATTTGCAAATGAAGAAAATGGTAATTTGAAATAAACACGAAGGGAACCATGTGTAGATTCCACAGAAGTGAGATCTTCAGACTTTGTGCTCTGTTTTTCGTCATCACAAGGACATCTGTACAGTCTCTATTTTTTAATTTTGAATCTGAATTTGTAACATGCTTACAACAATGGAGTCAGAAAACATAACATGGCCTATTCTACGAAAGCTGATTTTTTGGTTTTATCATAAAGATGGGAAAAGAGATGTTACAATTAAGTTCTTACCTACTGTATAATTTGCAGTACAATAAATTGTGGCAGCATTAGCTTTTGTTCATCACTGGATGTCTCTTGTCTCTACTGGACAAAAGGGAATGTGGGATGTCATAAAAATGGTGAAACTGAGACGTTGGGAATCCTGCTGGCTTGCAGCATACTGTTATCCTGAGAACGAGATGACTTGGGGAACTAGTTGCTTTTTTAATGAAGCTTATGTAAATGTATTTAATGTATGAATTAACTTTGTCTTTTTATATATTATATAATACAACTGAACTATTGTTTTGTTTTTAAATATATAAAGGTAAAGGTTCCCTTGCTCGAAAGCCAGTCGAGTCCGACTCTAGGGTTGCGGTGCTCATCTCCGTTTCCAAGCCGAAGAGCCAGCGCGGTCTGAAGACGTTTCCGTGGTCATGTGGCCGGCATGACTAAACGCCAAGGCACACTGAACGCTGTTACCTTCCCACTGAAGTTGTACCTATTTATCTACTTGCAATTTCTTGCTTTCGAACTGCTAGGCTGGCAGGAGCTGGAACTAGAGACGGGAGCTCACTCCGTCATGCGGCAACTCGGGTCTCCAACTGCTGAACTACTGACCTTCCACAGCCTGCAGTTCAGCGTCTTAACCATTTGAGCCACCACAGCTCAGTATATCAATCAAATATATAGATTGTCTTAAATTTAGAGGGATGTATACCATATTATTTTACTGATTCTGCATTTGATATTAAAAGCACACATCTTCTAAGAAATCTGAGGTATAATTGAATTTTCTGTACTTTTCTCTTTTTGTTCATATCTATTATAATGATTGCTCAGATTTTATTACATCTGCATGCAACAATGTTAAGTGATTATCTCCCTACACCCTGCTCAATCTGGTGTTACTGGAAGTTTGTGCCAATAACAATATTATGATTTCCCTACTCATTAGGATAGTCTGTACAGTTTTTATGGTAGATGGAGGGTCTTCATGAGTGGAAGTGGGGTGGAGGATAAGGAACATCCATTCAGACTTTTTAGTTGCAGAGACATAAGTGGTGCACCTTTTCTGTATCTCTGCAAAGAACAGTGCCATCAAATTGCAGGAGACTTATAGTGACCCTGGAGATTTAGGTCAAGGGGTTTGCCACTGTCTGCCTCTCCTTGGTGGTCTCCCATCCAAGTACTAGTCAGGGCAGACCCTGCTTAGCTTTTGAGAGTTGGCGAAATTGTGGTAGCCTGGGCCATCCAAGTCAGGAACAGACTGGAGAGTCGCCTATTTTTGTTTTCAGAGGAGATCCCTGTTGCTCTGCCACAGAACGGTTAGATCAGAGTCCAGTAGTCATATATGAGGAAAGGAACTTTGACTCTGGAAAGCTTATACCCTGAAACTCTTGTCGGTCTCTAAAGTGCTACTTGAATTGAATCTAATTATTTTTGCTAGGAATTCAGTTGATAGGCAGTAGAATTATACCGTTATGACGTTATAGTGCTGTAAAGTAAAGGTAAAGGTTCCCTTGCTCGAAAGCCAGTCGAATCCGACTCTAGGGTTGCGGTGCTCATCTCCGTTTCAAAGCCGAAGAGCCAGCGCTGTCCGAAGACGTTTCCGTGGTCATGTGGCCGGCATGACTAAACACCAAGGCCCACGGAACGCTGTTACCTTCCCACCGAAGTGGTCCCTATTTATCTACTTGCAATTTCTTGCTTTCGAACTGCTAGGTTGGCAGGAGCTGGAACTAGAGACAGGAGCTCACCTGACAGGAGCTCACCCTGTCTTGCGGCACCCGGGTCTTGAACCGCTGAACTACTGACCTTCCACAGCCTGCAGTTCAGCGTCTTAACCACTTGAACCAGCTAGCAATTTACAGTTCCGGAAAACCATCCCTCCCCCCCAAAAGCTAGCAATGGGGGTGGGGGGCTGGAGAGGACGACCGCAGCGTGAACGCTCAGGAACGAGACTTGACGCCATGTTGCAAAGCGGTTTTTACTGGAACACTGAGAGCCGACTGACTCCCCATGTGCACTCAGTCCCACCACCCCACCCTCTTTGCACGTGTGAATGGAGCCCAAGAAGCGCGCCTGTCCGTGTCGGCCTCTCGCTCGCATATCTCGCAGCGCCACAAGCCGTCCTCCCGGTCTCTCAACAGTACCGTGCCGGCCACTCGACTCCTACGCTCCTGGGAGGGCGCCGGAGCGGGCTGCCTGGGGCTGCAGGCGGAACCTCCAGAACAAAGAGGCGGCGGCAAGAGCAGCGTGCTCCTCAGGGCCCCGCAGCCGCCCGCCGCCTGCCTCGCTTTTCTTCTCGGCCTCTTCTCTGTAAGGACAGCCCACCCGGTCCCCAGACTCGCCGAGCGCGCTCGGGACGCCTCCCCCGCGGCCCCCTTCCCGGCGGGCCGTCTGTCAATGGCTCTTTGTGTCTTGTGAAAGGGGCGGGGGCGCTCCGGGGACTCTCCACGCGCTTTCCGAGGCGGGGATCGGCCGGGGGAAGTTCGGGGGCGGTGAGAGCGCGCGTGTCGACAAAGTGATCTGGGGCGCTCCAAGCAGCGACGTCCGATGCTTCGGCTGGAAACGGAGAGGGATTTGTCTCCTGCGGAAGAGTCGGGCTTTAAAGTTTGCAGCCAATGTGGGAAGAGGCCGCCTTCCTTGTGGGCGAGTGGCGCGCTCCTCTCTGAGGGCTGAAGGGGCTGCGGCTGGCTGTGGAGCGAGCGTGGAGTGGCTGGGGGAATCCGCGCTTATTCATGTTGGGTTTGCAGTCCTTCCTGGTTTGGCCCCTCGCTGGTTTGGGACTGGCCTGAGCGGAGACTTTGCACTGAACCGCCTATTCCAGATTCACCCTGCCCGAGGTTGTTTTTGTACCCGGGATGGTTTCTTCTGGAGGCGACATCTCGGACTTCTGTTGTCCTCAGGACCCAGCTGGTTGGGAGGGCGGCTCCCTGAGAAGAGGGCAAATATTAGCAGGGGAAGGCATATGGAATTCGGCAAGAAGAGCGTGATTTTTATCTCAAAGCAAGCTGGACTCCTGAAGTGACCAAAAGTTATTTTTTTTAAAGCTGTTGATTTCCCCCCTTTTCCTTCTAAAGAGGCTGCAAAGTCTCACCTTGAAGCTGACAGTACAATATTTAAAGACCTCTATGTGCTTTGCCAAGGCAGAGTCATGAAGAAGATGCAGTTTTTGTCGCCACTGAAGGATACCTGCCACTACCCTGACTACCGTGAGATGCTGAGCAAGTCCAACAGTGACTTTCCCACCGTGATGCGGGATGACAGGGGTGGCATTGGGTCCGATACTTCCACCCAGATCCGGAAGAAACGGAAACCCTGCGGGCTCTGCGTCCCATGTCTGAGGAAGGAAAATTGTGGCGCTTGCACCCATTGTGTGAACCGAAGGACCAGCCACCAGGTCTGCAAGATGAGGAAGTGTGAGGTCTTGAAGAAGAAGAAGAAGAAGTCTGGGGGCTGGAATCAGGTAAATGTCCCTCCGTTCTGAATGTAAGATGCTAGTGTGAAGAGATAAGTGTTTGTTTACACCCAACAGTTGCTATTACAGGACTATATTCATCTATTGAATCACATAATCGGAGAGTTGGATCCAGGCCCAGGATCCTATGCAGTGCCAGAGAGGATTCTAAGGGACAGCTCTTAGTTTGCGCACAGCCAGAGAATCGAGTTCTCAGGATCCTCTTTGACAGTGGTCAAAGATGTGAGGAACATAGCGGAAGAAAATGCTGAACAGCCAGAGGTTCCTTAGGAATTTCCACAACATTCCCCAAGTGTCAGACTTCAGTGCTTAAAAGATTCAGTGTTTAAAGAGCAAACAAACCTGAGTGGTCATGCACAAGAGAACAGAGTTCAAGAGATTCTCCTTTGTGCCATTGCTTGTGGTCCTGTGGGTGCGCCCCTCAGATTGTGCTCTGCCACATCAGGGTTCATAACAATGTGTGGTTGTCAGATCCGATGTGTAGATTGCTCATGCAGTGGTACTGCCAAAAGAGCAGCTATGGAAGAAAAGTTTGGTTTTGTGTCTTACAACCATAGTACTCAATGCAGTTGTCTGGAAAACATCAAGCTCCCCTTTTTGGATGGGAGATGAAGTACATAATTTATGTGCTCTGAAAGATTCCTAGGATAAGGCAGGTGTTGATCTGCAGTGGTGTGTTCTCACTGCAGAGATCTTTAGCCACATGAACTGGTGTGGGGGTGTTCTTGATGCACCTGTACCTGTGTAGAGTGAGGATTGTATCTACTGCAGCCATATGTCAGCTGCTTTAGCCATGCATGCTCATACCCAGTATTTCCTTGCTTAATGACTCAGTTCTGAGCTGTGAGTCATCAAATGACATCTGCTTGTTCATAAGTAATACAGCCTTCCGGGACTCTGCAACTGCAGACTGCAGGTGAGGGCTTGCATGAAGGAAAAATAAATCACTGCCTGTGGAGGGCCGTCTCTGCGGGGTGAATGTAAGTGGGCACGGGCCAGTTTCTTGCATTGGTAAGGTAGTGGCCAAAATGGTCCCTCCTATCTTGTGTTTTGAGCCCCCTAGAGAAAAATGCCATTAAAAATTTTCAGCCCTACTTCCCCAATGATGTGTTTGTTGAAGTGAAGTCTTCTGTCTGATACTGTTGTTCTCCATGGGTCATGGGGATTTGATGTGAAGGAGAATTTAGATCCTTCATCTTGTATCTGTATTCAGGAGTGTATTTGAAAGGGCTGTACTGTGTGCTTTTACTGAACACATTGATTGCCCCTGAATGTGTGGACATGCCATTGAGAAGCATTATGTTTGAGGTGAGACAAGAAGATATGTAACTTACTTTTGGCACTGGTTGATTTGTGATAGTGAATTCTCATGTCATCCCACTTGTGGCTTCAGTCATGGCAAGATGAACATGATCTTGTGAATCAGACGTAGGAGTCATGCCTGCCAACGTCTCCTTGATATGCAGAGTTGACAATTATGGGCAAAACACTGCCATTGGTATTCAAAGGATTGTGCCAGAGTAATCTGTATCCTGTGGGTTGTGTGCAGTTGACTTGCACATCCTTGAACACTGGCGCATGTTATGTGCAATATTATTCTTGGGGGGAAAGGCTGCAATTAAAGGGGCTGGAATCCAGGCAACCAGCAGGCGTACATTGAAGGGGTCACCTCTCTTTTATCAGCACAGTAGCTGGTGCTGCTCCGGCAACTGCTGCCTTGTCAGTAAGAAAGGTCTGAAGTATTCTATCCACGTGGATTGCTGTTTTGTTGTGGTTAACAACCAGACAGGCCGTGTCTGGTCCACTGGGAGGTGTGCCACATGCATGACATAGCAACAACCAGTATGGATAAAAGACTTTGAGACTTTCTTTTATTAGTATTGGAGCAACTGCAGGAACAGCCACAACCACATGGCTGATAAACTTCATGTTTAAATGGATCTCCAAAGGGACAGGCTCACATCTCTGAGCTAAACCCAGTAGCCTTCCTAATTGTACATGCCTCTTTCCAGTAGCAAGCTTTTGTGCTACGGTGAAAGTGTACTATCCTCCCCCAAGGGGTGGCTGTTAATTGCATTTCATTAAAAGGTAATGCCTCTTCCACCTCTGTAGCATCAAACACATTTGTACAGACTCCTCCCCTTTGGCACCAAAGGAACTGCTAGTGTAGGCAAGATCTGGGGAAATGTATTGTCAGTTCTTCTAGTGGCTGGCAACAAAGTGGAGGAAGTCACTTGATGGATGTGCCAGAGGCCTATGGACATAGGGATGTTGGGAGTGGACACACTGGGTGACTTGTCCTTTAGTGCATTCTGGAGGATAAATTCTTTGCTCTTTTCTGTAGCTATTGTGCATGCACAGAGAGGTGGTGCACGGGGGGGGGGATAGGGTTGCAGTCCAGGCAATCAGTATGCTATCTGGATTATTTTGCCATTGTTGCAGTCATGAATGCATTCTCTGCCTTTTTTTGAGGTGCTCACATTCTGTAAAGAGGCTTTTAGTGACTTTTTAGTGAAAGGCCTCTATAGGATGATCCTAGGATTAAATAACTGCATTTGAAATATGTATACTTCTGAAGTCCAGTAGGTTGCGAGTGCTGCCCCTTTTGAGAAACTGAGGACAGTGTTTATGTTCCTTTAGCATATGCAGGAAGGCGGTAGGCAGATGGGGAGTTCTTCGCACGGTGGCAGTGTGCGCCACAATGCTTTCACTAAAGCCAAGGAAATCTTTCTTTGAAAGTGGGGTTAGTTTGTGCTTAAGGTTCCTTGGCCTTGCAGCCACAATGCCTCACTTGTGGTTTGTTTGGGTCCTTCCTCCTGCAAGTGACCTGTGGAGGTTTCCATTCTTCCTTTGGGGCAGCATTTCACAGACTTCTGAAAGGTGAGACCACCCTTCTGTTAAAAAATCTGCATTAGAATTAGGCATGCTTCAGTCTTACCACCAAGGAGACTTGCTTTGAGTATTGTCTTACAAACTACCTGTCTGCAGAGGAGACTAGCTCTGGTGTTTCTGTGTCAGTCCTTCTTCTGGATGTGTTTCCAGCAAGCCCAGAACAGAGTTTTGTGCAGACATGCAGTGCTCATTGTTCTCTGCATTCATGTCTCCACTTAAAGGGTTGGATCCCACAATCTGCCTGCAGAAAGCATTTTCCTGTATTCTCCTCCACTCAGTAGTACTTTCTGACTGCACTCCAGGAAAGTTTGTTTCCAGGATGGAAGCTGTGGGCACTGATTGCCATGCAGGGTTGGAGGAAGCAGTGGTGAGGAGCAAGGGGAGGGGGGAATCTCCGTTTCTGCCTCTTTTGCCAGTACAGTTCCATTGACGGGAGTGTCCTTCTGAGTCTCCAATCCCTTCACCTGACCTCTTTGTCTCACTCTCCGTTTTTTCCCTTCCCTCCCCCTCACTGGTTCCCCTTCCCTTCACCTTCCAACTTACATGGTATTTCCTTCCCGTCCCTTCACCTGACCTCTTTGTCTATACCTTGCTGCTTGTCTCACTCTCTGTTTTTTTTCCCTTCCCTCTCCCTCACTGGTTCCCCTTCCCTTAACCTTCCAACTTACATGGTATTTCCTTCCCTCCCTTATTCTCTTCTTGTTATGGCTTTTATCTTCTCCTTGACAACCCAAAATGCCACCTGAAGCCATCCACCACCATCTATGCATGTGTACATGACACTTGTTAGTGTTGTTTTTTTTTAAAGCCCTGCCACCTAAAAACCCATGAGAAAGTCCGGGTTTGCAGAATAACCTAGTTTTTAGGTGGCAGGGCTTAAAAACAAAGCAAAACACTAATAAGCTGCCTCATGCAGGTCTCTGGAAAGGCAGTATATAAATGCCCTATGTTAATTAATTAATTAATTAATTAATAGCCCAGTTCTGGCTATTTTGACTAGCGGTAGCTCTTTATGGTCCCAGGGTAAGGCCTTTTCCAGCCTTGTTCCCTTTAACTGGAAAGGCCAGGGATTGAACTTTGGGCCTTCTAGATGCCAAGCTGGTACTTTGTCAGTGAGCTAGAGGCCCTTGAGACACTAAAGTTAACACATTTATAAAAATTACTATAATAAGGCATAATATTGTATATAGTTTTATACTTTATTATGGTATATCAGTGTGGAAATACACATTCTTGGTGTGTTCAATTACTTGACCCTTTGCTTAGGCAGATAATCTTGCATGCATCGCCATCCACTCATATTACAAGGACTATATATTTTTATACCTAAAGTGGAAATAAAAACAAACAGAATGATTCAACAAAAATAATTTTTAAAAGTTAAAAAACACTAGTAACTCGCAAGGATTGTGTAGCCCTTCTCAAAGATAGAGACTTCTCTGTTTGTACTTTCTGTCATGTAAGCCACAGTTGCTGGCCTTCCTGTCAGTTAGTGACTAATTTTCCAGTTTCTGCATGTTTGTGTAGCTGGGGGAAACCAGTTGCCAGGAGGAATCTTTGACTCATGCTGTTCACCTTGGAAGGAGGGTAGGAGGAAGGAACCTCGTTTCTCAGGGTTTCTTCACATATGGTTGCCGTGGGTGCATATTGCAGACCTGTATTGTGTTGGTGAGCAGCTTTTGTGGACATGTATGCCACAAGTTGAGTCTTGTGAGTGAGTGGTGCTCTAGTGCTCACCACAGTATGTGTGCAGCCTCTCAGGTATTGGTGTGGTTTTGCCTCTGTTTATTTACTGAGGAAATATGTTGACCACCTCTACAGAGATCTTCTTGAGGTGACCAGCAAAATCAAAACAATAAAACTGTAGCATAAAAACCACCAAACAGATGCTTTTCCTGCAGGTTATTCACATCAGAGGTAACTGATTGAAGCAAAGTCACTTGTGATTCCCAAATCTCTGGGCAGCTCTTTCCTCTCCTTAATTAGAACAGGAGATGTGCCTTATTCCCAAGAAGGTTCACTTTTAGAGCCGAAAACCTTTCTTCCTCTTATTCCAGAGAAAGTTTGTTTTCAGAGCTGAAAAACCATTCCTCCTC